TTTCAATGATTAAGAATATACAAATAACATTGTCTGACTATAATGCAATAAAACAAGAGAATAATAACAGACTTTTAAAATTTTTTATTTTTAAATTTAAATTAGAAACAAGATTGCTTCACATATCAATTCCAGGTCCCTCTCCCTTTCCCTCCCCTCCTCCTGTGCCCTCCCACCAACCCCTTCAATATCCCCTCATTTCCCCAGGGAGGGTGAGGCTCTCCATGGGGGTGCCCATAGTCTGTCATTTCATCCAGGGCAGGGCCTAGACCCTCCCCCAAGAGTCCAGGGTGAGAGTGCATCTCACATTGTTGAATGGGAGTCCAAAGTCCATGTGTATACTTGGGATAAATACTGATATACTGCCCAAGGTTCAATAGATTACCTAGGCCTCCTCACTGACACCCCCATTCAGGGGGTCTTGATCAGTCCCATGCTGGATTCCCAGGCATCGGCCTGGGATTCAAGAGCTAACCCTTGTCAGGTCAGCTGGTTCTGGGGGTTAAACCATCCCAGTCTTAACCCCTTTGCTCATCAGTTCTCCCTCTCTGCCACTGGATTCCTTGAGTTCAGCTCAGTGTTTCGCTGTGGGAGTCTGCCTCTGCTTCCATCAGCCATTGAATGAAGGTTCTGTTTCCCAGACTCTCTGGTCATCGGATTGTAGGCTGGCACTCCCCAGATCTATGTCTAAAATCCATATATGAGAGAGTACATGCCATGTTTTTCTTTTTGTGACTGGGTTACCTCACTCAGGATGGTTTCTTCTAGTGCCATCCATTTGCCTACAAATTTCAGGATTCCATTGTTTTTTTTTTTCTGATGAATAGTACTCCATTGTGTAAATGTACCACATTTCTTCTATCCATTCTTCAGCTGAGAGGTATCTAGGTTGCTTCCAAGTTCTGGCTATTACAAATAATGCTGCTATGAACATAGTGGAACAGATGTCCTTGTTGTATGAATGGGAATCTTTTGGATATATGCCTAAGAGTGGAGTTGCTGGGTCTTGTGATAGGTTTATTCCCATTTTTAATAACAGGCTTTTTAACATTTTTGTCTTAGCAGTAAAAAAGCATTCAGACATCTTTTTTGGGAAAGGAGTGAATAAAAAACAAAATTACAGAATTTCTTGAAACTTATAATAATGAAAATAAGACATAAAATCTTTGTGCTAAAACAATTATTATAGGAAAGCTTGTGGTTTAAATACCGAGCAAGAATGAAATATAGTTCTAAGTGAACTGGGTGCTGGTGGCATACACCAACTGGGAGTTAGCTATTTTCTTGATGGATCCTTACTTGGTGGAGGGCAGAAATAAACAGCCCATGTCTCTATTTAATTAATTAATTGTGTGTATGCGCATGTATACTATTTTGCATGCCACCGTGCCCCATGTAGAGAGCAGAGGACAACTTGTAGAAATCAGTTCTCTTATACCATCATGTGGCTTTCAGGGATCAAACTGTGGCTCATCAGGGTGAGGTTGCCAGACTGGGCAGTGAGTGCCTGTTCATGCTGAGCTATTTCACCAGCCCAAATCTTCCTTTATAAAAGGACATTAATGGCTCAATGAGGGCCTCATGATCTTATTCATTTGCAATTTCTGAAGACCCTTACTGTAAAGAGACTCTCCGGGGGGAGGGCTTCATGGAATGTATTTTAAGGAGATGCAATCCTTTAGCAAATAACATATAGATATCTTCTGTCCAATGTGACAGAAAAATTTATAGTAAAATTATGGGATATGCTCACCTATTTGTATCTAGACCTTACACCACACAGATCTCTATAATTTATTCTTCTCTATTTCCCCCCATCCCCAACAACCCCCCACTAGACTTAATGCACACATTCTGGGTTATCTTGTTATTTGAAAGCTAAAGGTTTTGTTTAATGTTTTAAAACTTTTATTACGTGTGTGCATGCATGTGCTTGTGCCATGGCGCATACACACGGAAGCCAGAAAACAACTTACAGAAGTCACTTCTTTCCTTTAGCCGTGTCATTTCTGGGATGAAACTCAGATTGCCAGGCTTGGTGGCAGGCACACTTGCCTGCTCAGTGTTCCAACTATCACACTGTTCATTCCAGTTGTTAGCAAGCAGTTCCAAGATGCAACGCTGCAGGATCACTTGGTTTTCCATCTCTGCCCTAACACCACACAGTAAACGGAGAAGAAAAACACAAGGAAGGTTGGTCGACGCATGTGCATTCCTGTCACTGCAGTTTGTACCCCTGCCTCTGAGTTTTCATCGTCAGTCCTTCCCAGCTCATGGGCTTGGGTCATACTCCGCCTCTCCCAGCTGTTCTTTACTGGTCAAAGGTTGACACAGTTGTGATATTTTTCCACAGGACAAATGACACATAGACCCTTAGACCTTTGAGTCTTATCAACCCTTCAGGAGTTGGAGAGTTTCCCCACCAGTATGACTGATTGTTGGAGAGGCATTCTAGTCATGTGGTTCTCCACGTTTGATCCTTAGAGTAGCACTGTAGTTCTCTGGGAATATGAGAGAAATGCAGATTCCTGTGCCCCACCCCAGGCGCACTGAATTTGAAATTTTAGGGCTGGTGGCCAGCACTCTGTGCTATTTGGATCTGAGGCATGCTAAACATGTTCGGCTTGGTGGCCTTCTCATCCTTAACCTCAGCTACACACACACACACACACACACACACACACACACACACACACACACTCACACACACACACACAAGAAGTGTCAGACTTCTTAATATTTTTCTATATGTAATTCTAAGATGGTGTTTGAATATATTTTCTTAGAATTGTCTATTTGGCATCGTAACAAATGGTGACCCTTGTTTACACTTTCCTTGTAACCCAGCTTTCTTGAGCATGTAAAAATCTTATGACAGTCTCCAGCCAATCATAAGTCCACAACTACAATCACCCCTTTGTGTAACTTCCACAAACCGAGCCAGTATTCTGCGTGATCTAAATAACCCATGGTCAGTTATCAAACAACTGGGGAGGCGTCTGTGGTTTAGGGTCCTCTGATATTATCCACACTAGTCATTTCCAAGATATTCCCACCTCTCTCTTTTCCTTCCCCACATAAGCCCCAATAAAAGCTTTGGTCTGGATTGTCTCTTCACTCCCAACCAAACCCAATGCTTCTCCATATGTCCCTTCATGACATAACATTCCATCTTTCATGAAACGTAAGCAATAAAGATCTTCTTTCAACACATTGACCTCTGTTGTTGTCATCACAGTCATCCCACAAATTAAAATCCTGTGGGGATACATTTAAGTAACTGCCTAATAGAAGCAATGTGACAGTCAAGGAAGCAAGAAAATTGGGACAAAGATGACAAAACAGGAATGCAGAAACTTAGACGAAGCCTGGAAAAATTCATATGCACCCAGTACTGAGTAAGACTCCTACCTTTGTAGAAGAAAGGGAAGTGGTGACCTAGCACTTCAAACAGCCAAAGAAAACACATAATTACCTCAAACATCCAGGGAGTCACAAGACAACAGCCAAGTTGTTCTTCCTGGTGTGGGGAACTGAAGATCGCCCTGCCCCCTCCCAGATTCGTTCTGGAGACTGTTGAAAATGGAGCATTTTGTCTAGCTCCCAGACACAGGCTGTGGACAGCCACTCCTCTCCCATCTCTCAGTTTAGTTTGGAGCACGAACTCCAAAGCATATTTAGTAACCTCATCTCACGAATGATGTGCTTGAGTGGGGGTATTTCAGAGCTCTGGGTCTCGTGTTTGCTTTCCTGATGATTTACTTAATCTTAAATGTACTGTGTGCAGACCTTGTCTTTTCCAGCATTTTAAACAAGCACATTATCATCCACACAGTTAAATCTCCCCATCATTATTCAGTTGACCAATTAAAGAGACAAGTAATGACGAAACACATAAAAAGGAGATTTATTCAGTTTGGCCACTTAGGGAAGGGGAGGAAACAAAGGGTCCAGTGACCACCAAATCTACCTTCAGGACTACTGACAAGAGCTTTCCGTTTAAATGACAGCAAGAGATAGTCGTAAATGGAGCCGTGCTGCCTCACTGAGGTGTTTCTTGCCCACCACCGACCTATCATTGTCTCAGCTCGCTCAAGTCTATTCTGTAAAGTAGTCTGAGAAATTGCTAGAAGTGTGGGAAATCCTGGGAGGCAACTTCCTCCTCTGGACGGCGCTAGGCCTTCAGGGTTGTTTCCATTTCCCCAGGATGAGATGCCTCAATTTTAGAGTATAATGTTTCACCAGTCTGATGGCCAAAGTGAGGAGCACAAGTGACTTAATTCGGTGGTCTGAACCAGTAGAAGTGGCGATTTTTCAAGTTCTCTTTTAGTGTTATTAATTCCAGTTGAGCTGTTGGGGCTAGCAAGGAGAACAGGCAGTCTAGGGACAGATAAAGAGCATCTTCAATGATTTTAATAGACAGCCAGATACCACAGGCTTGCACGGTGACTCCCAAGGACTAGTCCAATCATCAAGGAACAAGGGAGAGATGGCTTATGATAGAAACCCACAGGAAAGGGGAACCGGGTCCTGACAAATGGGATTCAAATCCACAGCATCATAGGCTAGCTCTCAGCCGTCAGAGTCTAAATGTCAATCTCAGCCAGATTCGGTGTGCATGGCTGAGACCAAAACAAAACGCAGAAAGGGAGGGTGGAAGTCGTGCTTGCTTCCAGTGTTCAGATCACTCCTGTTAGTCTGGAGCAGGAGCGGGCAGGCTGGGTCGTGGTCACGTAGTACATCTGAACCCACACGGCCAGCTCGAGGTGGTCGGCCACGAAACTGGAGTGAAAGTTTAACCCCAGGAAAGCACCTGAGTCAGGGGCCAAAGGAGCAAGGTCAGTGGAACGGGGCGGAGCCTGGGAACGGCTGGCGCGAGGGCGGGGCGGGCAGGAGGCGGGACCGAGCCCAGGGAGACTCGCGCCTGCGCGCGGACCACCCGGGGGGCGTGGCTGCGCACGCGTCGTGCGCGGGCCCCTGGAGGGCGGAGTCCAGGCGGGCGCCGGCCGAGGGAGGGGGCGCGGCGTCCGTGAAGTCCGGCGCTCCCTCAGGCCGTGGAGGCGATGCTGGCTGCTGCGGGGCTGGCGGCTGGGCGGACGGGGATGTGACCGCACTGTCCCCTCGCCTCTCTTCCACCCTCGGGCCCGCAGGTCGCTGGGCGACCCGCAGCCGGGCCGCGGCCGAGGAGGCAGCGCGACCTCCGCACGGTGAGAGCCGGGGGTCAGGGCCGGGGGTCGCCGGGGCGCCCGAAGGTGCCGGTCTGGGAGGCGCGGCGCGGGCGGGCGGAGGGCCGGGCGTCCTTGGCCGTCAGCGATCCGGGGCGACCCTCGGAGCCTCCGCCCCCTCCCCGGAGCTGCCTGCGGTGCAGCGGGCAGGCCGGACGCCCCTGCCCGGCGGTGCTGTGACGGGAAGGGGCCGCGGGGCGCCCGGGCTTGTAGCCTCCCTGCACCGGGAAATCAGGGCGAGGCTGAGAAGCCCTAGGATTTCAAAGCCAGGATGCTCGTGTTGGTAAGGGAAAGTACCTGACAGCCCGGGATGAGTGGGATTTTTTTTTTTTTTAATCACTGAGTCAAAACAAAGACACGCCCTAAAACACGTCTTGAGAAAGAACTTTGTTACCTTACACCGTGTCTATAGGTTCAGATGCTCCCCCGCACCCACTCTCTCTTTTTTGCACATCTATTTTTATGCAGTTTTAAATGTACCTACTTTCTTGACAAAGTGAGGGCGGGCGTCATTCATTTGAGGTGGTTGTTGGTGATACAGCCTGACATTGGGCTTCAATAATTGCAAATTCATCTCTGCTGCTACCTAGCCAATTAGGCTTGCTCATCCCAGAGTAGGCCCTGGCAGTGGAAGTTACTGGTGCACAGACTCTTTGCCTTCCCAGATTGGAATGGCCAGTTTCACTTGAGAGACAACACAGGTGTAGTAGTGCTTGCCTTTAATCCCAGCATTCAGGAGGCAGAGGCAGGTGGGTTTCTGCGAGTTCCAGGCTAGCCTGATCTACATAGCAAGCGCGAGGCTAGTCAAGGCTATACAGACCTTGTGTCAAACAGAGGGACAGGGAGAGAGGGAGAGAGGTTGATTTTTTCCGAGTAACCATTTAAAATATTTTTTTGGTCAAGAACATTAAGTATATTTAGACGATTAACGTATCGTCATTTAGACTAAAAAAACTTTAATCACATAATGCGAAAGATAAGTACAAAACATGTCTTATAACGCATAATCTATAATTGGTAAGGATGTAAACATTGATGAATGGTTTGCAGTCAGTCTTCTTTCCAGACTTTATTGATGTTTGTGTCTCTTAATTTGTTAAAGCAAATTGCTCTTGTATGGTGTTTTTTGTTCTTGTTCGGAACAACATTGGCCTCAATCTCTAGGCTAGAAGTACTTCCAACCCTTAATTTGTACTGTAATTTGTACTGTTTCTTTACTATGCCACAACAAGAAAGCGCTTGAAGCCGTCCTGAGAGCAGGACCTTTTTTTTAACCTTTCCTCAGGTAGAATGTTTTGCTTCTTGCCTCATTGCTCTTACCGTTTGGAGGGGAGAAGGGAATTTGAATTTTATGCTTACCGGTCTTTGGGTGACTAGTGTGTGTCGGTAGAATCCAGGCTGTCCCAATTTCCGGTGCTTGTGTACGCCCTCATTCCGTCTCAGTGTCCCTGTGCTCTCCGTGCCCCTGCTTGCAGTTCACAGAAGGTGACATCTTCCTGCTCGCTCCGTCTAGCGTTGTCTTCCTCGGAGACATTTTGCCCTCACAACCTCAGGAAGGGGCTGGATTTGACTCTGGTGCAGGCATCTCATCTCCTGTTTTCACCAGTCCATTGGGCACTTAGTGTTTTGTCAACTGGAGGGAGCGGTTTGCTCACATATGTCTCCTCCAGGCTTTTGAGTTTCTTTTCAAGTTTGCTGGTGCAACACATGCTGCTAAAATCTTTATTGAAGGCATTTTGATGGAAGGGTCAAGGCTTGAATGCAGATTTAAGATGAGCAAAACATGTTTAGACTGTCTTTCATTATCAGAAAACTTAGAAAAGAATACATTACTATTTTTAAAAATGGTTTATTTTTATGTGCTTTGATCTTTTGCCTGCGTGTGTGTGTGTGTGTGTGTGTGTGTGTGTGTGTGTGTGTGTGTGTGTGTGTGTGTGTGTGTCAGATCCCCTTTTTGCCTGCGTGTGTGTGACCTCAGATCTCTGCAGCCCATCTCAGCTTTCTGGGTGTTAGGATAACGGAAATAAGCCACCAATGCCTAGCCTCTGATTCTTAATAGAGGTTTTCCCTTCATGGTGTTGTATGAGAGATGTGGATGTCTATTAGAGAAGGACTATATTAGTAGATACTGAAGTTGAAAGATGTCACAGAACATTTGGTTCAGCTCTAGAACGTTTTCATTTTGAACAACTAAAGCCTGGCAAAGCAAGTAGCTTGACTCTGTCTCCATTCAGCCTCTATGTTGCAGCTCCTGACTTCATGTTTGTGTGTTTCTCACTGCTCTGTGGAGAAGTTGGCTTGTGCTTTCCTCCTCCCCTGAGACCTTAGCTGCCACTCCTAGGGACCTAAGGCCCTTGAATGGCTGAGAAATGTGATACCTCATGTGGGACGATGGGAGAAACTGGGCCTCCACCCCTCCACTGGGGTGCCACTTGCATTTGGTGTGGGGAGTCTGTGGTGACCATATGGAGATCCTGCACAATTCTGTCTGATGGCGAAGTGAGACCAATATAATCGGATGACAGCCGGGTAATAGCATGGTTAAAATTACATGTATGGCTTCAGTGTTGAGAGAAGAGCTGCTCTGATTATTCCTGTGATAGTTTTGTAGGAACAAAAAATGATCATTGTAGATTTATGTTTCTGAAAAGTTGGTTTTAGCTATGTGCTTAGTATAGTGGACCTGACCAGTTCCAAATGGTTTGTTTTACAAGTGGTCAAAGAAATAAAATCAGAAGAAGTTATTCCTTGATTCTTGTTAGTTCCATATAGTTTTTTACCATTGACTGATTAGTGTGAAAGTGTAATCTTTAATCTGTACTTTCATATTTGATGGGCTTTTCTTTTTTGCTAGTTCTTATACCCTTGGGTTATTTATTGCACAGTGTTATAGTGATTACTTATATCTAAGTGGACATGGTAAGTAGTGCAGACAGTGTATTTAGGTGTCCTGGATGGCCTACCCAGAATGCCACTCCCGGTCGTGTCCAGGATTCTGCAGTTACTGTATCACCACATATTCATCATCTTTTTTTCCTGTAAGCTAAAGGCCCATGGGAGGAATTGCGGCATCAGAGGGCATGAAGGTTTTATCAGTTTCAAAAGCTCTTGCTAGATTTACTTTAGAAAGATTTGTACTTCTTCTAGCAGAATTCAGTTGACTAATTTTGTCAATACGTTCATGGCCTTTTGTTTTAAGTTTATCTTTCAAAAAATTAAGGTTGTCTAACAGTTAAATGCACACGCAGGTTTTCTTCTCTCTATGAATAGTTTGTCCTTGCCCACTAATTCACTGAGGTATTCTTATTAGCATTAACACAACTTTTTTTTTCCAAATAGTAGTTTTTTTTTTCTCTTTTTTAAAAATTTAAGTTAGAAACCAGCTTGTTTCACATGTCAAACCCAGCTCCCTCTCCCTCCCCTTGTCTTCCACCCTCCCTACCAGGCCCCTCAGTCCCCCACCCAATCTCCACCCGATCCCTAGGGAGGGTGAGACCCTCCATGGAGGATCTCCAGAGTCTGTCATTTCATCCAGGTCAGGGAGGCCCTCCCACAAGAGTCCAGGCTGAGAAAGCATCCCTACACTGAACGTTTTTTGATCTTGAATTCTGATCCTTTTTACTCTACCTTCCATGAATTATAGGCATGTACCAAGGCGCTGGCTTATTTTTTAGTATTGAAGACTTAGTAGTTTTTAAAGATTTTATTGGAATCTTTGTCTTTAAAAAATACTTTGCAATTTTGTATTTTAATTGTGAAGTCTGAGTATGATGGTACCCCCATCTGAAGCATGGCGTTTAATTAGCCTCTAGAACCATCCTCCTATCTCAGGCCATACTTCTGTTTAGTGCTTACTTTGGAAAGATGAAATATGGGAACATTTAGCAAGGTGCTTCTCAACTCCTTAGACTTATAACCCTGTTACCTTTTAAATGTTCTTGAATACCTTAATGGACTTTTGCTTATTTGAATTAGAATTTTTGATATTTATCAAAGTATAAATATAAATTTGTTTTTGATTGCTTAAAGTAACAAATCTGTAATATATTAAAATTATGATAAATTTAAGCAAACCAAAGTATTCATCAATGTAGTGTATTTGTTTAAGTTTTTGTTTGTTCAGTGTTGATCAGAAGGTCATTTCTGACTTAACTTGAATTGTTAATCATTCAAAAAGCTACAAATCCAAACCTTGTTAATCTGCTCTTTTTTGGGGGAAGTGATATATTCTAAACAGATAAGATAGCCCAGAACAATAGTTACCGGATATACTCCACTAACACCTGGCATGCCAGTGTTTAATACTACTCCCTGGCCACCTAGAAGGTAGGTTCTTTGTATCATCATTTTATGGATGACATATAAAGGGATCTGCTGAAGATAATATAGGAAGCCATGGGACAGGACCTGGTCTGATTTCTCTTTAAAAGGCACTGTTCAAATGTGTATTACCTTTTTGCTGTGCTAAAGATTGGACTTCCTCTTCAGTGCATTTGAAAGACTTAGTTTTAAAACCAAACCAACAGTTCCTGACAGGTGAAATTTCTCTTATTTACCTGTTTGTGTTGGCTAGTAGCTTAATTTGAATATGACTGGAGGGTCATCTTTGAGGATTCCTTGGTCTTAAGAATATACCCTGTGCTATCTCTTTGGGAGATGACTGATGTAACAACATAGAAATATATTAAGGTGTGTTTCTCATAGAACATAATTGAAATAGATAATGTGTGAAATGAAGTCTGAACTCTGTGGTAGAAGTGGCGATTGCAGGTATTTCTTGAAAGATAAGAGACTGTGTAACCCTTTATACGAGGGTGGGAATGTGGAGTGGCGATTTGGAAAGAACAGATTGGAGTGTGCTCATAGTGCCTTGCTGGGTTTTTCCCATTGCTCTGTGATCTGTTGTACCTAATCTTGTGGCACATCTAATCCCTATCTGATTGTGTGCTTGTCAATGATAAGGCCTGAGTAGGAAGTATGAA